ATAGCAGGGCATCTATTTTGTCCAGGCAGAAAACCAGAGAGGGCCACGGAACCCACCTGGCACATCCATAATCCAATGTGAGGTCCCAGGAGAAGGCCAGCCGGCGGAGGCCACCCGGGCAGCCTGTCTCTGGCGGGCAGAGGGAAGCCTGCAGCAGAGCGGGAGGGGTGGCCTGAGCAGGTCCCGGAAGACACCAGGCCCGAGAAGGCCCTCGGCCTCACCAGCCCATTAAAAATGGGGCTCTCTTCGCCGTTTCGGACCCAAAGCGGGGGAAGTCAGAGCACTGCAGGTATCTATTCTTTTTTATGAAACCACTTTCCTCTTTCTGTTTGAGGTGAGGAGTGGCTCGCTCTAGCTGACCAAGTAGTTTAAAAATGCCAAATGCAGTTATACTGATTAATAATTATTTCACAGAAATATACTCTTACTCTCAGACTGTTGAAATAAGCAGAAACAAGTCGTTGGGGAGAGAAAGCAGCAGAGAGGAGACAGGAATAGCCAAGGTGGGGTTTTATCTTTTTCTTTTTTAAAATACCTAACGAAGTTTAAAGGGATAATGGCCAAACCTCAAAACCATCATTGCTAAAAGCAATATTAAAAGGACACAATCGAAAATCATGCTACAAAAATAGTGTCATCTGGTTTAACTAAATGTACATCTTTTTTTTCAATTCCACGATTGACAAGTGTTTATGTGACTGACACACGGAAGGCACCGAAGGTGAAGCGATTATTATTTGTCTTAAAATATACAAAGAGAGAATTATCTACTTTGGGGAAAAAAAAAACATACAGTCATACCTGTAATAAATAGTTAAGTGTTTTTGCCACGGGTTCCTGAACCCCTACAAACTTCAACATATACAAATAGTTTCAATCCCTACATTCTCTCCGAGGGAACCACATCAAAATCAAGTTATTAAAAGCACTGGTTTTATCCACATACGTCAGTTTCATCATGAGGCAGGATTGGAAAACCCATTTTGGGTTACAGAGTGAACTCACTGGAAGTAGGCAGCCCCTGTGTGGGTCTGGGCCAGCTTGGGGGTCCATCCGGGCCTCCTGCTCTCGTCTTCCCCCAGGGAGCTGGCCCTCCCCCAGCCTTGGACCAGTCAGTTCCCCCTTTAACCCTTAATGATTTGCCTTCCTTGCTTCTGCAGGGGAACAGAGTCTCAAAACTTGCAAAACCGATTCTGGAAAAGGCAGGAAAGCAAAATGGCCCACAGAGGGAGGCAGCCATGAGTTAGACCTGGCCCTAACTGGCATGGACACCAGGCCCCCACACTGTCCTCATTCCCTGGTAAAGCGGGGTGCATCCTACTGGGATTTAGCAGTGTCCTCCAAAGACAACTCAGATTTGACAGGTTCAAACTATGACCAAGTCCCATACAAACCATCGCCTGAATCAACTGTGTCACATCTTCTCTCCTCTGAGGCATAATTAGGAAAAGAAACTTCGGGCCTCGCCCTAATCCCATCAACAAAGCTGATTAAGGTCGTTTGAGACAAGTTCCACTAGAACCATAAAAGTTCTGATAGTTCAGTACGGTCCAGGCTATTAACCCCTTAATGAAGGCTCTCTGGCCTTTGTGTACAATGCATCCCAAAGAAAACATGCCACTCCCAGGTGTCTAATAAGCAAGTCACCTGAATTAAAGTCTTGGCATAAAAATGTGGACAACAAACTAACCCTATGAAAAAGATGCACTATAAAAGGATCCATAATCTAAATTTTACTCTAGGCAAGTTGCCAGTGATTCAAGCTCAGTGGGCTTGTAGGTAACTTTTTTCTGTACTGTTTATGGAATAAGAAAAACTAGAAAGGGGGAGAAAAAATCCCCAAGGTTGAGCAATGACATCCAAATGGAATAAAAATATAATCTAGACCAAAGAAGGGAAAACACATCAGGACCCATTCCTCTGTTTCAAGCCTAAGAGTGTATAAATGCCATTTACTGGTATAAGGAAAAGTCAACTCGAACATTCATTTTCAGAAGAAAATTCCAGATCTAACAGATATTGAGGGTGTTTTCTGTCAGAGGTGGTTTCTAAATAAAAGCAATGTACAGGGTCAAATATTTCAAATTACCTTTTCAACCAGACAGTTCTTATGGTCTCAGTAATATGTGAGAAGAGAGGAAACAAGATCTTATAAAAAGCCAGGAAGGTTTGCAAAGTTCAAGGCAGGCAGGCGTTAGGCCTGCATCCTCTCTAGGCACCCAAACCAGAATCTGAGTCACCCTGTCCAGACTCAACAAGACACCAAGAGCCCATCCAGAGCGCCAAGGCAGACTGGTCCCAACATCCAGCTTTTGTTCTCAGGCTGATTCCGAACACAAGACCTCATTTTTTCCCAAAGCTAGAGGACAGGAAGGTAGTTCACCAAGTACATTTTTTCAAAATGTCCTGGGTCAGTCACCACGTTTGGTGTGATGAAGGGTCCCCCAGGACACAGTCTGGGTGTACTGAGCCCCTCTCTCTTCTCAGCTCCCAGACCTGCCTCTGCCCCCACCTCTCCAGCCTGTCGCCCAGCTGGTCCTTAGAGTGGGTGCTGATAAAGTAAGAAAGATTGAAGACAGAACCCCCGGGTTCTGCAAAGTTCACTAGGAACTAAAAAAAACGTCTGGGGCCCTCACAAACCAATGGCAGTTCCAGGGGCAAGAAGCAACTTCTTATTTTGCTAGAGAGAATCAATCAGCAGTAGCCTTCAGCCTAGAAAGTGCTTTTTTTTTTTTCCTGCCTTTTGCTACCCGTTTAATGTCATTATTTTCCTATAAACAAGATATGGAGAAAATGACAAGCAGTGGCAAGATGACTTCATGGTTGCTTGGTTTTGAACATGGAGGCACAATGGGGACCACTTAAATCATCACTGCCTTCCAGAATCACTGAACTGGCCACACGCTGCCTCCACACACTATTCATCTGTTAAGGCCAGTTCTGAGAACCCACAGAAAATCTTCCACAGCCAGAGATTAGAACTTGGTCCACCTCTTAAACACATGGCGGGGTGAGGAATTTCTTCCCAAAGATCACATGAATGTTTACAAGAGAAGGTGAGCTGGGGCCACACAGGACGTGACACACCGAGGCGTTATTCCAGGCTTGCTGGGTGCAAGAATTCACACACATGTGCAGACAAAAGTGCTTCCTCTCCCCAAGGGACTGCCTTTGGCTTAACGAAAGTCTCAATCACTAAGAGAGCTCCACAGAAAGGCAGATGAAACTGAAAACTTCAAGCGAGTAGACATGTTTTCAACGGAGTCAAAAGCTCTCACCAGAAGCATCCGACACATTGGACTGACTTCATGCCTACCCACACGCAAGAGCGTCCGTGCCACGCGACTGTCACGGTGCCCTGAGGGCTGGGGGTGGGGTCTGCCTCCCAGAGCCGAGCCCTCAGAGCCGGGCTGGGGTCTCCCCCTCTCCCCGCTGCCGGCTTCAGCGTGGCCAGGCGGGGCTCTGCCCATACTGGCACTTCAGCTCAGCTTGCCGAGGAAGACGAGGCATTGGGACTGGACAGGCTACTCCATCCCTGCCTTTTGGTAGGCAAAGGTCATCTCTCTTGGATAAGTGTTGCTGCACAGAGTAAAAATCTAAAATAAAATACATCAAACTTCTCCGGTGAGATTTTAATCTGTGACTGCCTTCGTCCTTCCCTGGCTTTCTGTGAGGCCAATGAGTGTCTTTGGGCCTCCATGACTGTCCTGTCTCTGTTTGCAAGGGGAAGACCTCTCCCCCCAGTGCCTTCAGCAGTGCGAGAGGATACAGGAGAATCAGAGGGAAAAAAATACCACATCAACCAAATCAGTGCCAAGATCAACTTTCTCTGAAGACGTCAGTGTTTGCACCCATCTCAAACCACCCCAGAGGTTCCACCAAATGTTTGTGGGTTTCAACCACACAGTGTCCAGGAACAAATTCCAATTTACACAGCAACTGCAGTTCCCATCAAGTCTGGCACCCACTATGAACGCCAGCATCATCCTACCAGAAAATTGAGAAACACTAAGATTGCCTCAGCCTTAAAATGCCCCAAACCATAGGGATGTGGTCCATATTGGAACTATTAAATGCACAAATAGGCTTCCTTCAATTTGGGGGAAAAAAAAAAAGTCCTGGTAAGCCCCCCCCAATCTAGATTGTCCTGTTTGTACACAGAGGCAACACAAGGAAAATGCAAGCATCGTCACACTCGCCCTAGACAGCCAAATTCCCTCCACGAGGGCTCACGCCACACGAGCGTCACCGGGTCACCTGGGTTAGAGAGCCAAGAGTGGGCCTGGCCACTGCTGGTTGTCCTGGGAGCTAATTAAATATTAAGAAATATATTTACAAAAACCATGGGGGAGCCTCATGGCACAAAGGATATTAAATAGTTACAGGGACATAAATAATTCCAAAGATTCTACACTACGATGCAAATTGACTGTAAGTCCCTCTGTGGCACAAGGTACCATCACTTTTTATCACCTGTAAGCATTTACAGTTTCGATGGGCTTCAGAACCTTTCTTGCAGCTTTCAACACATCCTCAGGAGACCAATAGGCCCTTTTTCACCGGATGATAAACTGGTTTTATTGCAGTGACTTGGGAAAACTTGGGCAACGATCCTGCCTGAGTGGTATTCTTTTTTTCGATCTCACTTCAAAGGCGGCTTTTTATTGAGGCCAAGTAACATGATTCCCAACAGATTTCTGATAAAGTTCAGGGTGGTCCTTCCAAGTGGGCCCCGCTGAATGCAAGGCTGAGTCTTTGTGACCCTGTTTCTAACTGGAACTCTCAGAGGGAGATGAGCCCATTGTTGATGATGCAGACACACTCAACAAATGCAAAATAAATACACAAAATGAACAGATAAAATCCAGATGTCATAATCGCCTCCAAAGTCACTACATCTACTAAGTTCAAAGTCTGCGACGCACGATTGGCGTGGCCTCACAACACACACACACACACACACACACACACACACACACACACACGGGCAGGGGGTTCGATCGGACCCGCGTGCGAGCAGGGGGTCTGCACGGGCAGCCCGCCACCCCGGATGTGGACGAGGAGCTCGCACGTGTGACCCGGGCCGCTGCCCCGGAAAGGAGCCACAGAATTCGGATCGTACCGGGCGGCCGGTCCAGGGGGCTCACCCCTCGCCCCGACCCTTCAGCCGTGGAATCGCAGGCCAAGCAGGGGGACCTGCACTGGGAAATCAGATGCGCTGGACGCCTTCTTACATGCGCTGTGCCCCCCCACCGCCCGGCACACTCACGTTTGCTCCCCTCTTACACGGCGCCCTCCACCACTGCTAGGCGAGGTCCCGGGGGCTCTCCCCGGGCTGCACACTCGTCCCCCGAGCAGGACGGGTCTCCTCCCGGGGGGATGGCTAAACGCAGACTAGTAGAGCGGGAAGGAGCTTTGTAAACATTAACAACAGTTCAGAGAGGGAAAACCCGACAAGGTAGAACCATTTTTCCGTGAAAGATACAATTAGTCTCCAACAGGAAAAATGCAAAGGACAAAAAACACTACAGCATCAGAGGGGCTCGTTGAACACGCTCACCACATAACCTTCACTTTCTCAAGAATCCATCTGAAACCTGACGTAACTAGAATTTTTCCCAACAACTTCCGAGATCAGCGTCCATAGCGCGGACCCTGAGGCACAAAAGCTACAGCCTGTGCCTTCTGAACAGCAGAGAAAGGGTGTGTCGTGGTGGAGATTCAAGTATTTTCAAATCCTACACCAACCTACTCAGAATCACTTTACAACTGTCCTCAGGCATTCAAAAATGAGCACACGTCCCTAAAACAGAGGTGGGTCCCCACCTGTGGTCCATGAAGCCAGCAAACGGGCAAGCATTCTAGCTGCTGGAATGGATTGTATTTTTTTATGTGTGACTTTTACCTGAGAAGGTAAAATTGCAGGAAGTCTGCAATTCAGCCTCCAAGTAGTAAGGGTGGGGAGCAAACTGGAAAACAAGATGCTCCCATATTCCTGGAGGAGGGGACGTGGGAGTCGGGGAGGTGACGCACTGGAGGAACAATCGAGTGATTTCTCAGCAGGGCAGGAAACGAGGGGCGACCTTCCCGCAGGGCAGCAGGCCTGCCGAGCTGTGCCTGCTCTTCCCATCCCCGTAGAGTCCAGACCCGGCAAACAGCTCCACCAGCACACCCGTGGCCAAGCCCTCAGCGTCTCCCGCGGTGTTCCGGGCCTGTGCTGGCCGTCTCGACGGCCCAGGGATGGAAGACGAGGAGCAGGGGAGGGTCCAGGTAGCAGGACCACGCGCTGCCCTGCGGCCCTCGAGGGGCCTGCCCAGCGATTGCTGCTGACTCTTCCAACCCTGCACCTTCATGCCTTGATTTTTTACCCCTCCTAGCAGCTCCCATTAATCCAAAGTCTTGACTTGTCACAAAAACCTATGACAGGGTGGCTCAGAGCCAGATGTGAAGCCTATGCTCGGGGACAGTGAGGACCTTGAAGAGACATGGCAGCCTGTGAGGCCCCTCTCTCCCGCCTCTGTCTCAACAGCTGGGTATGGGGCTCCCCGCCTCGCAGACCCACCGACAGGGCCACTCTGAAAACCGTTTCCCAGAAGGAACTTCTACCAAAGAGGACAAAATTCAGCTTAATCACAGGAAAATTTGACGTGACGAGGGAAAGAAAACTTGGTTGAAAGGAAGGGCACAAGGATGAGAGGGGGGAGGGCTCCGGCAGGTGGGCTCATGTGTCCAGGCGCTGGGTCTCGGGGCGACCGTCCACGTCTCTGGACTCCGTGCGGGCTCGGATGTAGTCACTGGTGCTCTGCTGGTGGACACTGACTCTCCATTTCTGCACTGCCAGGAATGTGTTCACCGCATACACCGCAGTTGCCAAGAAGCCAAATATCTACAAAACACAGGCACGGTTACTCCTCAGACACGTCAGCCTTCGACAGGGTGTCTGGGCGGGACCTGCCCCGAGCAGCTCCCGTCGACCCGAGCTGTACCCACAACGCCCGGACCCACTGATATCTGGCTGTCGGACTGTGGCCAAGTGCGTAGTTAAACATGACTCCCATAAAGTCCTGCCTGACCTGAAAACAGCCTAAGGTTTCTCTTCAAGTATTCTGGATCTATTAAACACACACACACACACACACACACACACACCACAGAAGTACCTCTTTCTCATGGTCCCAGATAAGAAAGTACCATGTAGCCAAAATACCAAATAGAAAATGAGGGTCTCATGTGTGGGGTGCTCATCAAGCCACAATGCCTGACATTCCAAATCAAAGCCCCCAAGCCTCCACCTGCTGCCCAGCTTGCCTCGCCCATGGGCAGCTCTGAGGTAAGCAGCAGCAGAATTTTAATGATTTGCTAAAGACAGATCAACCTACTGAGTGACACTTGGGAGAAGAGCTGGTTTCCTGTTTTTTTACAAACCTTTATAAACTGCCCTTCACCACTGCAAAAGTGCTGCATATTCATTATAAATAGAGAACAATACAGAAATGCAAAGCACAGAGAATCAAAGTCTTACATGATCTGGTTCCCACCCTACCCCCAAAGGCATTCTACCTTGAAAAGCAAAAAAATGTCATCTGGCTGCTAAATGGTGTCAACACTGCCCTCTCCTTCATTAAGATTCCCACACTGGCAGATAAGGCTCATAAAAGCAACATCACTAACAGACATCCAGGGCTCTGTTAGGAACAGACTAAAGGAGCGATTCTCAAATTGGAGTGTGCACCTGAATCACCTGGAAGGCTTGTTAAAACATATTTCTGATTCAGGGGCTCCTGGGTGGCACAGTCGGTTGAGCTTCCCATTCTTGGTTTTTGGCTCAGGTCAGGATCTTAGGATCGTGAGATCGAGCCCCGAATCAGGCTCTGCGCTCAGCACGGAGTCTGCTTGGGCCTCTCTCTCCCTCTCCCTCTGGCCCTCCCCACAGTGCTCTCTCTCTCTCTCTCTCTCAAATAGATAAATAAATCTTTAAAGGGGGAGGGGGCATTTCTGATTCAGTAGCTCTGGGGGAGCCTGGGAATGGGATTTCTAAAAAGTTCCTTGGTGATGCGAAGGCTGGTCTTCTGGGGACCACCCTTTGAGAACCACACCACTGAAGGAAGCAGGACCTCCCTGGCTCAGTAACAACATCATCAGCAAAGAAAAAGTTCAAGCAGAATGAGCAGGACACATGCTAGGGGACAGAGGCGAGCGAGTCATAGGGTGTACAAATCCGCCTATGTTTTAACCAACAGAGCTCACTTACCACGGCAGCAATTTCTGCTCCGGTCTTGTGGTTTAAAGCAGCCAATACAATCGAAGCAATAAAGAAAAAGAAAGTGCTGAGTCCAGTGTTGACCAAATCCTAAAAAAAAAGATAAAGTCACTTGAAAAGAATTATTTCATGCTTTGCCCTAAAAGCAGTTGAAGGATTTTCCCAAAATAAGGAGCACAATATCCAGCCTCTCTGATGGTTCGGTATTTCAGTCCTGATGGCCCAGGGGTTTTGGACCCATGAAGGAAGGCAAAGATGGTACCAGCGTATGACGTGTATCACCTGATATATCACCACGGCAAAATTCACATTTTAATCAACCACGCTGTCATTTCTTAATGAATTATTATAGAAACCCAAACTGGCTAACCCCTCAAGGACATGCCCGTTAATTACTGTTTAGAATTCTATTGTCATGTTTTAAAAATACATTCGAATCACCTTTCATTTGCATGGACAACACTCTCCAGGAGTCCAGAACGTACTGAAACTGGTGAAATCCCCTCCAACATCCCCTCATTCACTTGTGACATGATGAGTGCACTGTTTTCAGGCCTAGACCACACCCTTAGCCAGACCTCATGCTCTTTCTTATTCAAGGCTCTATGTGGCTAAAACCTAGAGGATTTTCTCCTAAGCTTTCTGAAAAGCAAATGAGGTTACATATCCAATGCTTCACAGATTTAACTCCGGTCATAGTTGTTGAGAGGAACGTAAGAACAGTGATTAAGTGTCACAGCCTGACTGGGGCCTAACCAACCATGACTCCAGGACAAGCCACTTCACTTCTTGGGTGTCACATGGGAACAGTACCCCCGCCTCATGGAGTTCTTCTAGGGCCCCAGGGAGCCACGCACATGAAGAGCCAAGCCCTGCGCCTGGCTCCCAGCTAGGGCTCCCTGCACATTTACTGATGCTTCTGTTATTACTAGTGTGACAACGGGTCCCTGACAGCCTGGGTCATACCAGAGTCCCTCTATAATCTCTACAGAGAAGCAGAACCCACAGAACATGCTAAACTGTTGAAGTGCCAGGCGGACCGTGCATCAGCACCAGGTGGGGGTCCTCAAGAGCCATCTCCTCTTTCTATAAGATGCAAAAAAAGCAATGTTCTCATCACGAAGGTGCTGAGCCTGTGCAGCAGGAACCCCAACACACTCCTGGTGTGCGCTTCTGTGGGGGTTCACGGGGAGCTCCAAGTACCCATGACTACAAAACTCTGTCCAGAAACGTCTCCCAGAAGGACAGTTTTTAGCTGTGGCCAGTGTTCAGCAAGGGCAAATTTTTCACAAATTCAAACCAGGAAGTGTTTAGTTAAAATGCTCAGTTCTGGGTAAGGTGCTGTAGGAATAAAGAAGAAGATAAAACATACTTTCTGAACCAAAAACTATTCAGAAGTGGGGGGAACGTTTTATGATTCAGTGCTGAGGCCAGATATCAAACAAAACTGTATATACATTCGGGGTGACTACGTAAAAATATAAATGCAGTCAAGGGCCTGTACGCATCAAAGAGGTTCATGTTGTTTGTCTATGATTTCCACATTTGGAAATTCATCTTAAATACCATACTAGTGCAGAAAGGTCTCAGTGTAAGGATGTTCATCATAGAACTTAAACTAGCAAAAAAATTGGGAAGCAAACAAAATGCTCACGAACAGGGGATTTGTGAAATAAAATGGTATCACCACAGTGGAACACTATGCAGTCATTAAAAATAATGATATAGTTGTACATTTAACATGGAATATACTTAAAATAGTTTAAGTGAGGGGCGCCGGGTGGCTCAGTCATTAAGCGTCTGCCTTCGGCTCAGGTCATGATCCCAGGGTCCTGGGTTTGAGCCCCGCATCGGGTTCCCTGCTCCGTGGGAAGCCTGCTTCTCCCTCTCCCACTCCCCCTGCTTGTGTTCCCTCTCTCGCTGTGTCTCTGTCAAATAAATAAATAAAATCTTTAAAAAAAAATAGTTTAAGGGAGAAAGCATGATTCTGATGGTTCCGTTCTTCCCCCCTCACTCATCACAACATACATGCCTATGGAACAGCTAGTTTACATGGTCTAGAAGGTTGTTATACCAAGTAATACAAGTGGTTACCCTGATGGGTTGTATCACGTGTGACTTTTTAACGGCTTTAGTGAGATATAACTCATACGCCATATAATATGCCCAATTAAAATGTACAGTTCAATCACCACAATCTAATTTTAGAACATTTTCGGCACTCCATTAGCAGGTAATTCTTCATCCCTCCCTTAATCCTAGGCAACCACTACTAACCTGCTTTATGGCTCTCTGGATCTTCCTATTCTGGACACTTGATATAAAGCAGAATTATATAATATGTGGTCTTTTGTGACTGGCTTCTTCCACTCAGGATGATAGTTCTAAGGATCACTCACGTTGGAGCATGTATCAACACTTCACTCCTTTCTATTACTATGTTGTGTTCCACTGTACGGATACGCCACATTTTATCTACCTTTCCATCAGTTTTTGGACATTTGAGTTGTTTCTACTTTCCAGTTGTTTTGAATAACCCTACTATGAACTTACAAGCTTTTGGGTAGACATATGTTTTCACTGGTCTTGGATCATCACATGATTTTATTTTTTTCTTTTATTATCTGCATCTTCCAGCTTTTCTGTAACAGACACTGCTCTGCACAGTTTATAAGGCTTAAACGTGGGGCGCCTGAGTGGCTCAGTCGTTAAGCGTCTGCCTTCGGCTCAGGTCATGATCCCAGGGTCCTGGGATCGAGCCCCACGTCGGGCTCCCTGCTCCGCAGGAAACCTGCTTCTCCCTCTCCCACTCCCCCTGCCTGTGTTCCCTCTCTGTCTCTGTCAAATAAATAAAATCTTTCTAAAAAAATAAAAACTAAAAGGCTTAAAAGTGGAATACTGCAGGTTTTGGTCAGCATCAACTACTTGAGTTCTGTGTCCATGAAACAAAAACCAAGGCCTGTAGGTTCATCCTTCACGTTAGGGGGAACAAAGACACGCCCTCTGACTGGGCTTTGGGGGTTTGTAGTCAACAACGGTGATTAATCTTTTTTAATGCTTGTACTGGGACGTGTACTCTATCAGCCACATGCTTTCCAGTTTGCCCCAGCTGTCCCCACTCCCTGCGGTCTCACACCCCCCACACTTCATGCTTCCGGTCTGGCCCCCAGAACACCCAAGGCTGCAGCCCCTCCTTATGCTAGGGGATGAAGAGGAAATCCACCCTCACATATACAAGCTCCCGGCTGTCTCCTTCAGGGACACACCGGGAGGTACAGGGGTGAACCCCTGTAACTCCAATAACAGGTCAACAGGATGTGGCCTAGAGGGTGTGAACCCAAGGCCTACTGGCCGTATCTGGCCCCCAGACGGGTTTGACTTGCACAGCATTCAAAATAAATTTGAACATGCCAACATTTAAATACCAGAAGACTGTACATAAAAAACTGACTTCTTAAAAGAGAAAGAAAAAAAGAAGCTTCTAGCTGCTCTTGAAAAGCTGTTCCAGAAGTACCCTGAAGCAACTACACAGTCAACTGGGGCTGGGGAAGAGAACGGCCTGCCCCATCGCCCCATCGCCCCGCCTCCAGCTCATCTTCCCAGCTGCCCAGCCCCAGCAGGCCCCGAGTCTCCAACCCCGCTCCTGTCCCAGAGAATGGGCCATCCAGGAATGTGCCCTGTCCCCCCTTCCACACTCCGTACCCAGTGGGCACCCACTCATCTTTCAAGGCCCGGCTGGCATCGGGCTTTTTCTATGAACACCCCCCTGCTGACACCCACTCCAGGCTTCTGCCCTGAGGAATCTACGACCTCCTTGCCTGGGTTCCACCAGGCCCCACACAAAACTGGATCTTACGGAGCACATTTACCAAAGCGCAAGCAGCTTGCATTGACCTGCCCTGTGCTTTCGGTTCCCAAATCCTAGCACAAAGCAGGTAGGTGTCTGATACACGTCTGCTGGGCTGACCACAGGTGAGACAGCTGTAAAAAGGCTCAGCCCCAGGCTCTCACTGCAATCGCTCCCAAACCACCGGGGTCTGTGGCTGACTCTGGGGTCAGCTCCACACATGGCTGAGACTGGAAGTTCACAGCCACTAGTCCACGCACGGACTTGTGCTCAAGTGGCCCCAGTGCCACAGGGACAGTCATAATACTGATGACAGTGGCATATACCCTCCGTGGAATCCCTGTCAAGTGTGTGTGTGTGTGTGTGTGTGTGTGTGTGTGTAACATCACCAATCCTAACCTAATTATGATCCAAAATACGTATAAAGTAGGAGACGCGTTAGTTTGTTCTACTTTTATGGGTAAGGAAATGGAGTTCTGGAAAAGATGAGTACGGTATGATAGAAAATATGTATTTGGTCTTTGTCCCCAGTTCCTTGGCATTTCCTGAGTGAGTGTCTTTTGTGATTCATAAGGAGCCCCTCTCAACCATTCCTGAGCTTATAGTAATGAGGTGACTCTGGGGAGCCCCTGGATTTCAGTTTCAGGATGGGAGCTGGTTACCAGAAAAACCCAACCAGGCTGTTAGAAGGTTGGAACTTTCAGCCCCACCCCCACCAACCTCCACGGAGGGGAGAGGGGCTAAGGATTGACTTCAACGTCCAAACGGCCAATGATTTTAATTCAATCATGCCTACGTAATGAAATCTCCATGAAAACCCCCGAAGGACGGTGTTCAGGGAGCTCCCAAGCTGGTGACCATATACCTATGCTGGGAGGGTGCTGTACCCCAACTCCGTGAGGACAGAGGCTCCAGCACGTTGAAACTCTTCTGGATCCCGCCCTACACTCATATACGCATCTCTTCCATCTGCCTGTTCCTGAGTTGCATCCTTTACAGCAAACCAATAAGCACAGGTAAAGCACTCTTCCCAAATTCTGTAAGTTGCTCTAGAGAATTATGAACCTGAGGAGGCAAATCTGCAGTTGGTGCAGGTCACGTGGGAGCCCCGTTTGTGGCAGATGTCTGAAGCAGGGGCAGTCTCATGGGACTAAGCCCTTCTCCGTGGGGGTCTGTGCCAACTTTAAGAGTTAGTGTCAGAACGGAGCTGAATTTTTCAACACCTCGTTGGTGTCAGAGAATTGGAGAACTGCTTGGTGTGGAAAAACTACACAGATGCGGTGTCAGGAAAAAAAAGACATAATTTGGTGTGAAAAGTGGTGTCAGGAAACACTATACCATGAGTCATGGCCAAGGCCTTGCGGCTCTGCAGGTGGCCCCTCTGGGTGACTCAGACTGTCCCCACTCAACACCCAACCTGGGTTCTTGATTGTGAAGGTCTGTGGGGTGAGCAGGGGCCACTGAGGCACTGAGGAGCACCAAGGAGGAAGAAGAACAGCCAGGACAGTGTGGTATCACGGGAGGCAGACTGAGGAGTACAGCAGGAGGGACAGAACATTCCATGGCAGTTCTGCTCACACCATTCGGTGGGGGTGGGGCGGGGGAGAACTGAGGAAGAACCAGGGGATCCAGGAACATGGAGGCCCCAGTGATCCCAACCAGAGGACTTTCAAGGATGTCAAGTTTATCTCTCGACCCAGACGGGTGGCTCCACAATCTTTACCATTCTTTGTTCAACTGTACATTTTAATGAATTTTTCCGAGTGAGCTGTATTTGACAGTAAGAGGTGAGAAAAGAGAAATGAGGAGGAGGGAAGCAGAGAACACAAGTGCAGACCTCCCTCCTTGTTAGGAAGTTCGGCCAAGCAGTCCGTGACGGACTCGGAGTGCTGGCTAAGGAGACCGGGCGCCCCTAGCAGCTTTCAGTGGCAGGCAGGGAATGGAGGGGGAGGGCTGGGGTGAGGGAGGAGGCCTGGGGCACTAACTAAAGTAAACACAGGTGGGGCACAAAGGTGTATGAGCCCCTAATACACAGAGAAAAACAAGTGTCACAGGATAAATCCCATAGATTCATCAAAAACAAGCAAACCCAGAGCTAACAGAAGCTTTCTGCTTGCATCAAATAATGCTTGTATAAAATATATACTTCGCATCTTCCTCCTTATTTACCATTTTCCATGATTATTTTTGTGTCAACATACACTCATGAAATGACCACTTTTCTAATTCTATACCAATCACACCCCATTTCACTCATTAGTTGGTTCTACTGAGGACAAAATATTCCCACCACCTTGTTAGAGAAACACAGCAGAGTCAAGGCCAGCCCTCTATAATAGTGACTCAATGAGCTGTGTCCAGCCCTGAAGAACTCACTTTTTCTCCCCTCCTGGAGAACAGATGACCTGAGCTCCCCTCAGTAAGTACCACTTCCTCAAGTTCATGTACTCATGCATTCTTCTGTTGAATAAGCATACACCTTCATCTGCTCTGAAAGGGTGCAAATCCTGGAAAAGATCCCAAAGGACTGAAAATGTTCTCAAGTGACATCAGCCAGGCGTTTGCCCCACCCAACGCCGTCCAGAAGAAAAAGACATATGTGAACTTTCGAGTGAAAAAGATGCACTTCAATATGACCCAATAATGTGGTAATCAACAAGTAGGAAGCCCTTCACGTTTAAATTAGAAGAATCAGAATTCCAGAATGCTCACTAAAGAGGTATTTCTGGGGATAGAGACCAGTATGAATTAGTTATTAAGATGCAGAATGAGGTCTTTTAACAGATTTATAGTCAAATCAGTAGATAAGACTGAATCAGGGGAGTGAAGTCAAACTTGGCAGAAGTCTGCAGGGGAAACATGTGGTTGATAGGAAACAAGGGCCCCTCGCTTGCGGTAATACTAACATCTCTCGGACTGGCGGCAGCGCACACTGGCTTGAGGTCCCTTATACACATGGTCTCATTTCATTCTTAAAACAAGCCTGTAAAATACTATCATCTCCACTTTACCAATGGTAGCCTTCAACATGGGGCTCTAAGTGACCTGCCCAGGGTCCCACACAGCCCTTAAGAGCCACCCTGCATTTGAACACAGATCTGACTCAAAGCCCCTGGTCTTAACCTTCCCGGCAGCCACCTCTGTCAGATAGGCCTTCTACCACTCACATTTTGGTTGGAGGAGGTCTGGAAGTGGGAGGAGGTTTATGAGGTTCTCCTATGCTGTCAACTCTGTGGGCAATTTTTTTTTTAAGATTTTATTTTATTTTTTTTAAGATTTTATTCATCTATTCATGAGAGACAGAGGGAGAGAGAGAGAGAAGCAGAGGGAGAAGCAGGCTCCCAAGGAGCAAGGAGCCCAATGCAGGACTCGATCCCAGGACCCCGGGATCATGACCCAAGCCGAAGGCAGACTTCCAACCATCTGAGCCACCCAGGTGCCCTTAAAGATTTTATTTTTAAGTAATCTCCACACCCAACGTGGGGCTCGAGCACACAGCCCTGAGATCAAGAGTCGCACACTCCACCGACTGAGCCAGCCAGGTATCCGTGCAAGAATTTTTTGATGGAGAACACAAACTTTATCTTAAAAATAGCTGAGATGCTATGGGGCGCCTGGGTGGCACAGTCAGTGGAGTGTCCAACTCTTCATGATCTCGGGGTCATGAGGTCGAGCCCCGCATCAGGCTCTATGCTCAGCACGGAGTCTGCTTGGGTTTCCGTCTCTCTCCCCCTCTATCCTTCCCACCCCCTCTTGCCCTCCCTGCCCCCTACACGCATGCGCGCGCTCTCTCTCTCTCAAATAAAATCTTTTTTTTTTCTTAAAGATTTCATTTATTTGACAGAGAGAGAAACAGCGAGAGGGAACACAAGCAGGGGGGAGTGGGAGAGGGAGAAGCAGGCTTCCCGCTGAGCAGGCACCAAAGTGTGAGGCAGCTGATGGTGCTTTCCTGTGACTCTCTGACTGATCCCCTTTGAGCTCTTGCACATGCTTGTTTGCAAAGAAACGTCAAGAAAACCAAGTGCTACTAAGTTTCCTTTCTCATTTAGCAGGATAAAGAAAAGTACCACAAGATGGGCCAGGACAGGACCAGCCCAGAGCTTCCCATGCCAATCTGAAGGCTGTCAAAAGGGGGCTAAGAACCCAAACCCTCAAGAGCACATGCTTCTGATCAAACCACCAAACCCTCCGCGTCCTCCCTGTTGCTTTGAATTTAATGCTAATCCTAGGCTTTGCAAGTCACCGGCACTTTCATTCCTATTTTCAATTCTTCCTGAATCAATACTTTTGTAAATGGCTTTTGGGTCCAGTGTGAAAAATATGCAAACGTTTTAATTCCATCTTTCTCTTCCCAAGTTCTATAAATATCAACATTACCAATCTTCTCAGAGGATCATAAAATTGAAATGACATCTTTAAAGGGGTCAAAATAATTGTTATATGATGGTTCTACCATTACTGAAGATTCAATTTACTGTATAGTTTTATTCAACCCAGTAAAGACAGTTAAAATTTCACAGCCACATTACAGTAAAGTAAGTATCAAAATGAACTGGAACCAAACAAGACTGCAGAGAGATTCCAGCTTGCCCCTGGAGCTGAGGAGCACCCAACCCTTTCAAGGTCAAAGAGTGGTGGTGACTTGTACTCACTGTCAGGTTCCAGTTGATCTGGGGGATCCTCATGTGAAGGTTCAGACTGAACAGAATCAGCAAGACTCCAGTCACCACAAATGCACTACAGCTCACAAACTCAAAAAAGTAGAGGCCTTCACACGGGGAGCACTCCATGATGGTCTCTATGCAGATGAACGCAATCAGGGCCAAAATCTAGGAAGAAAATTGGAAACACACACATGTGTGTATATTTAGTTCATATCCGTGGACATATGTGCCTGCCACATTTAAATAAAACTCCACCTCCACCGCCACCGCCACCACCACCACCACCACCACATGTGGCCAGTATTCCTCTGGGGACGACGGTATCGCCGTCAGCAATATGATCTGATGAAATTCCTATGTAACAACAACTATGGAGTCCTTAAGGAAAGGATCGAATTCCTAACGTGAACACCTACACCTCACCGCAGTCCCCGGACACTGCTGGGGTGCGGCTCGGCCCTTGGGAGGAAACAGAAAGGAACGGCTCTGCGATGTTTTCGGTTCTTCCTCCGCCACTAGTAAGTTGACGCTGCCGACACACGTTTCTGATTTCTAGTTCCTACCACAATTATGCCAAACACCGAGAGGGCAGGGTCCAAATGGTGTCTGTTTATGCCATCTGCAACTACCCTGGGGGTTCAGGCAGAGGTCACGCAGGCTGACTGGGACCCCAGAGGGCTGTAAGACAGGGAAGAGTATTATCTCCTCTTCTCCCAATTATAAGAGCCTAAAATCGAGGCCCACCTAATTCATTCACAAGCTATGCTTTTCAAAAGTGATCACCGGACTTAGCCATTAAAAAGCTGAAATGGAGGTTTATAAAAACATCGAAAAATCTACCAATAATGGCACCAATTTCTCCCTGAAGGACCAAAGTAACGTTCCAGCAATATGTCCCAAGAGAATGGAGATCATCGTCAAACAGGTATCGATGGAAATTACGAGGTGAGCTTTTAAAGGAAGATTTCAGGAGAAGGAGGCGGCCCAAAGGCTGAGTTGATGGCCCAGTGAGCAAAGAAAGGTCAAATGGTCTTGCCCCTAAAACCAGATCAGTCTTGGGCTCCTGGCCTCTATTCTAGCACTTCTCTAACCAAGCACCTCGCAGCCCACCACACGTCCAGCCTGGGCCAGAACCCGCAGCGAGCCCCCACTTCAAAGGTCCAGGACGTGTAGGCAGGCGGCTCTGTGGTCCCAGATCTATCCTCAGAGCCAGCAATATCAGCATCACCAGGGAGCCAGAGAGAAGTGCAGAATTTCTGCCTCTCCTCCTTGACCTACAGAGTCAGAATGGTTTGGGGCTTTTTTGACAGGATCCCCAGATGATTCAAATGCGGGAAACATATAAGGCACGGGCTGTTCTGTGGCCTTCCTCCGCCTCCTGGAGTCCCACGCATGCCTTTCAGTGCGCCACTCAAAGCCACCTCCTCCCAACACCTTCCCTGATTGTCTCTCCTCCTGCCAGACATTATTTGATTCCAGTCTCTCCCAAGGAAGCTTACTCATCTATGATTGCATTCTACCCTTTTTTATACTTGCCATTATGCCTCCCTCTGTCTCCTGAGCTTTCTGAGGGCAGCGGCCAGGCCATCTCTCTCCACCCAAGACACCAAGCGCAGTTACTTGCACACCGCCAGCAAATGGGGGGGGGTTGGGGGCACTAAAAATCCACACCCACAACTGCTGACATGCTTGGCAGGGTGTCCACGTAAAAGGCAGGGCAGGGCAGCTCCGCTCTATCCATTACCAATACTTCTGCACAGGAATCATAAAGACACCTCTCCCATCAATATGGGGTTCTGTTAAGTCAGCGTATTAGAGGGGCGCCTGGATGGCTCAGTTGGTTGAGCGTCTGCCTTTGGCTCAGGTCATGATTCCAGGGTCCTGGGATCGAGCCCCGCATCGGGCTCCCTGCTCCGCGGGAAGCCTGCTTCTCCCTCTCCCACTCCCCCTGCTTGTGTTCCCTCTCTCGCTGTGTCTCTCCCTGTCAAATAAATAAAAATCTTTAAAAAAAAAAAAAAAAGTCAGCGTATTAGAGACAGGGCTAAGCACACACTTTGTCCCTTTCCTAATGGCTCTTTTAATTTTCTATAGAACCAGAGACTTGAATTCTCCCTCTGAATTACATGCCTGACTTGCAATCAATTCACAAAGAAGTAGTTCATATAAGGGAAACTCCTAAACTTTTTCTTCCCCCTGTAATTGGATCTAGTAATCTTGGGCAAAAAATAACACGCTGTACTGATGAGTTACAAATGTTTCTGGTATGCTAACTTCAACCATATTTGTGTGGGAAGCTAACACCTACATTCTTAAATATTAAAATAAAAAAGTTTCAAGAATATGCACATCTAATAGGCCACTCAATGCAGCAGTGAACAAAACAGAAATCTGCTCTCTAGCTCATAGTCTGATGAAGGAGAAGCTTTTAAAAATGAAATTAGAAGTACTGTATGATAGGCAGTGTGAACTGTAAAGGGGAAAAAATCAAAGCAGGAAAGGAAAATGCAATGTAACTAGGGCAAAGGTGTTTGAAGTTTTAGGGAGTGACATGGAAGGCCTCACGGAGAAGGTTCTAGATTTATTACAAAGTTTATTACAGTCTATTACAAAGGATGGTCAAGTGAAAGAGAACTTCAACTGCCTCCATTCTGACCTCAGTCTGTAGTCTGATGCGTTCCTTCAAACTTATCTCTCCACTCAGGAAAAACACCCTGCAGGCAAAGCATTCCCCGTGTTTGAAACCAAAACTACCCCCTCAAGCAACACGGACTGCCCGGGGCCAGCAAGAGCCCGTGGGGTTGACCCCAAGAGAATCATGGACCTGACCTTTATGGCCCGGTGGCCTGTGCCTACAACCTTTGTCCCACATTTTCCTCACCTAAACCTAGAAGAGAGGTCTGTCTTCCCCGTGTCAGCCTCACTGAAATAAATTCCTTTCTAGTTTCACCACCACTGTCTCTCTGCCCTTGGATTTTGTCAGTGGCCAGTAGCCAAACCAGGTCTGTGTGGAACCCCTGGAGCCAGGTGCTCTGAAACCAGGTTACAAAAGGATATAACTGAACAGCAAATAAAGAGATACACAGGGCAAGGTCCAAAAGGGTCCTGGCAGTGGTCACCTCTTGCGTTCAAGTTTTTATAGAGCTCGTTCTGTAGGCCCCTTCCCCTTCCCAGAGATGAGCTGCGTTGAAAGCTCCAACTCTCTAATCACACGGTTAGTTCCTTGGCAATCAGACCCCAGCCCGAAAGTCCCTTCATTAACACAAACTCAGATGTGGTTGAAAGGGGGTTGCTGAGAATATCAAAAGACACCTCTTATCATGTAGGAAATTTCAAGAGTTTTACAAGCTCTGTCCCAGAAATGAGATGAAGAACAAACATATATTTCTTATTTTAAGTGACAATATCACAAGTATTCAGGATGTGGACAGAGATACGGATAGATACGCACGTACGCACAACTATACTCATAATAATTTAATCAGTCCCCTTTTGATGGGTATTTAGGCAGCTTCTAATATTCTGTTTCTAATAAACAGTACCCTTTATTGCCTGCCTTTGGCACAGCAAATGTCAAATTTTTCTCCAGCACAATGAAGCCTAACAATTGTTGCTAAGGTAAAAGTTACCTATTGACCCACAAGAAGAAAATAAGGGCTCAAAATTATACTGGAAGCCAACAACTTCAAGGCAACCCAAGAGTCAAAAGTAATTCAACTTCTAACAGTTTTGCAGTAGACAAATGTCACAATGTAAAATAGCACTGGGTGGCTCAGTCGTTAGGCGTCTGCCTTCGGCTCAGTTCATGATCTCAGGATCCTGGGATCGAGCCCCCACATCGGGCTCCCTGCTCCGCGGGAAGCCTGCTTCTCCCTCTCCTACTCCCCCTGCTTGTGTTCCCTCTCTCGCTATGTCTCTCTCTGTCAAATAAATAAATAAAATCTTAAAAAAAAGTAAAATAGCACAGAGATGTTCAAAGAGATGCAAATAAGTAACAGTTACTATATTTGCTAATTGGAGGATCGTGGGCGTCCTTGGTCAGAGCCCTTTCCATGGGGCACCAACAAAGTGACCAGGAGTATTTTCATAGTTGGTAAGTAAGCTGAGATTAAAAGGTTGTCAGGTTTCCACCACTGCAGCTAATTATGATTGACAACATCAAAAAGCAGGAAGGGAGGGAGAAAAAGAGTTGGCTGATTAAGTTACTATTAAAACTTTTTAAAATTTCTGGGGCGCTTGAGTGGCTGAGTTGGTTAAGGTCTGCCTTCGGCTCAGGTCATGGTCCCGGGACCCTGGGATCAAGTCTCGCATCAGGCTCCCTGCACAGCGGGCAGCCTGCTTCTCCCTCTCCCTCTGCTGCTCCCCCTGCTTACGCTCTCTCATGCTCTCTGTCAAATGCATGAATAAGATCTTTAAAAAAAAAACTTTTTAAAATTTCCTAAAACCTTATGTTTCTACTGGTGGGAGTGTCAAGCGGCAAGACCTTTCTGGAGGGCCCAGTAATCAACAGCACTGTCGACCAGTACATCCCATTCTCCTCCTTCCAGGCACACTGCAGCGTTGGAGGTTTGTACTGTGAGATGTTCCCCAGGCAGATTTATTCTTAAGATGATGGAGTTTATGCCTCAGAACTCCACACTTGCCACCCTGGCTTCCTATCCCAACTCCTCTGGGCAGGTGGCAATGGGGGAACAATGGTCGTTGTGGGGAGCAGGCTCATTGGAAGCTGAGTGAGAGATTGGTTTACATTTGGGTTCAGCTGCCACTTCCACCCCCAGCTAGTTACCGTAGCTTTCCCGCTGCAGGCATGGCTTCCAGATAGGCTCTGAGCTGACATCATGGAGAAGAAATGGGCCCTAAATCTCACCAGACAGATCAAGATCAGGATTATATCCAATAATGCAGAGTATGCAATTATAAATACACTATACATTTTCTCCATTTTGGGTGGAAATCACATGAAATAGAATTGATCAGAAATCCAGGGTCTGTATGGCAGAAGCCTGTGGCAGGACCACAGAGCCCGAGTGTGTGCGTGTGGGAGATTACAACTCCTGCATCCCAGGCAGTCAGATGGTATCTGACAAACCTTGAACTGACAAGGTCAGAAAACACCGCCCCCGCCCCCAAAAAATGGCACACAAAACTGCCTCCAATGCATTGCAACA